CTTTTCTTTGTACAACATTATCTAACAATTTTATTTTTTTCTTCTCTTCAACATGTAATTGCATTAACACACACGACTCTTAATATTATAAGATAATTTTTTTACATGCCAAACAAAAATTCTATTTTTCCTTTCCGTATTATAAATTTTTTATTCCTTAAATTTGAATCAAAATCAGCAATTTCAATCTTGATCCAAAATTTCCCAATCACGGCACGTTTTGACACCCATCTTCGCTACCTTTTATCGGTAGGTACCTTCATTATTCAAATATTGATTGTAGTAGATAGAACCAAATTCAAGGGCTCATCAAACCTGAGATCGCAATTCGACTTCTCTGTACAATAATATTCAATTTTCTTATCACTAGTCACAAGATTTGTTTTGATCACTTCACAATCTTTGACAACAACGGAAGACTATCTTCCATGGACTCAATCAGCATAACTCTATACTTATATGACTTGATCATTAAAGCTCCACCTCGTTCCTCAATCGTTGATCGCCACCACGACCCCACCTAAAATTTTTAACTTGCCATCATCTTCTACGCAATCTTAAGAGTTCAAATCACGAGCTTTAGTACCACTTGTTGAGAAAAATTTCTACCATACGCGCAACAGACGCATAGAAACGTAAAAGAAAAAAAAGAGTTAGAAAGAGAAAACACAAAATCACAGGAGAAGATTTATTAGTTGAGAAAACCTCATAATATAACATTTTCCCACTCTTTCATATTCCCCTTCGCAAAATTAGAATTCTTGTACGCTTCAACTGTTCTAATTTTTAACACTTTTCTCCAATTAATTTCTCTGTCCAACACATGCAATTGGTTCCTGCGATTTCCCTATGCCGTGTATGTGGTGCCAAGAAAAAATAAGTTCATGCACGAGCTGTTGAATTATTCAATGAAGATGATTGCAATATTACAGCAAAATGTCTCAAATGATGGGAGATAATGACATGATTATGATGGCTTATCCGGTTTCCATTTCATATCAATTTTTCTTTGACATCGTCCAATCTCACTCTCTCAAGTTATTGACTCATTACATTAATTACACTAAAAATTAATTAATTTGACTATTCTTATGTTTCAATCTGATTAGTAATCCTAATACACTGTTTGTACTTTCCACCTTAAATAATGATAGATATACTATTTTTATGTCTGCATGTCTTGTGATTGTTTGTCCAAGGTGCCCCATCGATGAAACTTCATATAAAATTGTACAATGACCGATTGCCAGAGACACAAACTTATTCCTTGGTTAACATATGTGTCGCTGAAGTAATATATCAAATGAAAAAGTAAATAATTAAAGCGTGTGATAAATTTTGGAATGGGAAAATCTGTCTGAAAATTCATCGAAAAGAATATTATAAACATTTAACCATAGTAAAATTCTGTTGCAAGCTAAATAATGAAGTGATAAGTTCAGGCTGTCACTTCTAACATCACAATTTTTTTGATTCGGAGGCATAATGAGAAATTCTCATACATGAAAGAGCTAAAAGTGGTTGTCATTATTGTGAATCTTATGAATCGAGGTAAAGGGAAACACAGAAGAGAGCAAAAAAAGGCTAGAGTTTCAAAGAATCAAAAACCTTAATTTACAAGATGAGAACGCAAAGGTTTAAATAGTATAATGTGGAAATTACAATAGACCAGAGTTTTAAACTTCAAATTTCAAAATTAAGATTTATTAGTTTACTTTTCAAAAATTAGATGATAAATGATATTTTAAAGATTAATAATTATATTACAAAATATTTAATTCATCCCACCTAACCTATACCCAACCAACCACAAAAAACCCTAATTATTTTCTCCTATCTATTATCTCTCTTCTCCCTCTATTCCACCGGAAGCCATCGCTAGAAGCCATTGTTAGAGAGCGCCGCCGCTGACATCATTGTGCGATCTGCCATTGTCGTTGCGTGATCATCGTCTGTTGCTGTGTTTTTCTCCTCTTGCTCTATCCAATATCTATTTTTTTTTAATTTTAGATTTTGGTGGCCGACGTATTTTTGTGTGGTTCGATTGTGGTGTGATGTGGATGCGTTGTTTGCATTGTGGTTTTGCCGTGCTATGGGTGGTGGTGTGCGGTGTGAGGTGGTGGTGTGCGATGTGCAGTATGTGGTGGTGGTGGTGTTTTGGGGAGAGTGTGTCCATTTATTTGGATGGTCATGTTGGTGCGGACGATGGTGTTCAATGGTGGTGGAGATCGTGTTCGATAGTGGTAGAGATAGTGTATTGGTGCAATTGAGGTGTTCAACATGGGTAAAGATGGTGTAGATGTTGGGTACAGCTGATTGTAGTCGATGGTGTTCGATAGTGGTAGAGATGGTGTATTGGTGCAATTGAGGTGTTCGACATGGGTAAAGATGGTGTAGATGTTGGGTACAGCTGATTGTAGTCGATGGTGGTGGAGTTGACAGTAATGGATTTGAGGAGATGATGGAGGTGGTGGTTAGTACAGGCGACGATGGTGGTGGTTGATACAGGGAGTTGTCGTGGTGGTATTTGGGGGTGGTGTTGGCTATTGTCGATGCAGTGGTGTTGGCAGTGGTGATCACAAATTGTTTTGTTGATTGTGATCAATAAATTAGTTGCTATGTGACCAATAAACAATATGTGACTAATGGAATAGATAAATGCGACCAATAAATAATGTGTGACCTAAAAATTTGTTTAAGTTGTGATCAATAATTTGATAATGTGTGACCTAAAAATAATTTATGATCAATTAATTTGATATTTTCTGACAATGAAATAAATTGTGACTCATAAAATTTTTGACCAAAAAATAAAATGTGATTGACTAATGTATCTAATTTGTGATTGAGAAATAAATTGAGACACATAAAATTTGTTGTTTGTGACTATGACGTTGGTAATTGTAACTAATACATAACTATGACCATAAATTATATATTATTGTGAACCTAATATCTTTAATTAATAAAATATTTTTTAATTAATTATTTAATAAATAAAATTTAAATTAATATCTGACTTTTGAAGAAATAAATCTTATTTCTTAGATTTGAAATATGTCATATTTAATATCTTACTAATGAAATTTTCCCTATTATAATTATAAGCAGTCTAATCTATCTTAACCAATCTTATAAAATGACACTATTACCTTTCTAGAAATACAAAAAACATAATTACAAGAACTCAGGGTCGAGAATTACAATAATTATATTATGAATTAACAATAGCATTTACTTGAGGTAAATCATGTGCGGTTTTAAAATAAGTAAACTTAAGTGGATACATAACATAGTAGGATCGAGTATTCTTTCTTTATTATCTCCTCATGGTCGAGAAAGCCCTCGATGTTTGAATGCATCGGCGAATTATATCTATTGAGTTGGTATAATGAATTGAAAGATATGCTAAACAATGTCATGTTACAAACAACAAGTTCACCTAGTAATCAATCGTTCACACATACCAAATAAAATTTTAAACGCACAATTTGATTTTTTATAAATAAAAATGGATTATTTATATGAATCTTGGCTGCCACATCTTTGTGTTTTAAAAATATTAAACTTTTGAGTAATTGATTGAATGATTGATTGCCAAGAAACATAGTTAACTTCCTCTACTATGTATCTACTACCGGTGGCCTATAAATTATGGCCAAAAACACTGAGCTTTTCATCCAATCTTGAAGCATAATTTCCACTACTTGAGAAAAATGGCTCACTTCAAGACTTTATTTCTTCTCAGCCTTCTCTTTGCTGTAGTTCTTGTAGTCTCTTCCAGAGCTTCTCCTGATAATGAGCCCGGGGTAGCCCAAACTCGTGAGTATTGTTTACCAATCTCTCTCTCTCATATTTTGTAGATTAGATAGAATCTTTCATTGTGAAGAAGAAAATGAAGTTATGATTGTTATTATAGTATCTGTCCCATGTAACAGTGCATAACAATCATACTCTAAATGAACAATATGCCTTTCCAAGTACTGTTCAGAAAAAAATACAAAATTACTTTACCCTAATTATATATGGATTTTCTGCTTAAGAATTACACTGATGTTGCTTAACTGTACATTTTGAAGAGGGTGGCGCGCAAGTGGACCAACATGGCGGCGGAGGTGGCGGAGGCAAGTACGGGGGCGGCGGAGGCCATTACGGAGGTGG